ATTTGAGCAGTTTGAGCTATTTTTCCTGCTTTGCACTGGCTTTGCCTTTATGATAAGCTGGATGTGTGAACTGATATGGTTTGTAATAGGTTTTTTTTCCCCTGGGATATGTTTTAGCCTGGATCACTTTCTCTGGTATGTGCAGCTGCACAAACAGTGGTGCTGCCTCAGTTGCCCTGGCACAAGGGTGAGTGTGAGCAGCAGAGGAAATGRGGATGAAAGGAGGGTCTATTGTAGCTTGTCTGCTGTCCATGGAAATCCTTATCAAGGCCTACATGGAAAAATGGTAATTGTCAGCTGTTAGAAGTGAGGAAGAGATGAAGAGTGAAGGAAATGTGAGAAAAGGCTGGCAGAAATTAARCTCTATTAAATTACGTTTTGGTGAAAACCTTGCTGTTGACAGGAGGGAAGGAAGAAGATTTTGTAATAAATGGCACCACTTGGCACTAATATCMTGTCTTGCAAGTGAAATGGACTGGAAGTGGCAGCGTGGCTGGATGGTAACACTGATGATTTCATCTCAGATAACCAATACAGTCTTGGGAATGAGAGGCTCTCATCTTTATCAGTGCTGATTTCGTGGTTTAATCGTTCTCTGTCAAGTAATGAAATGTACAGCTGCACAGATACTGTTTTTGTGAAAGCAGTTTGTGCTTTAGCACTTGTTACGCTTTAGCCAAGGAGATAATCCTGYTTATGGTGGGGGTGCTTGGCAGCCTCAGCAAGCACAAGTGTTTGTGCTTGCCTCAGAAGCAGCATATGGCTTTGGTAGCTCTCAATGTGTGAGATTGCAGAAGTGCACATTCTCTCTGGCAGGACTGGCTAGATTGGTTGTTTCTGAGAGAAACCTACTGAWTTGTCAGCAGATATTCGTACTGTGTGGCCCTGTAGCACCTTCTCATATTCAATATAAGTTAAATTGAATATTTTATGTTACCATTTTCTCAGGAAGCTAACACTGGATTTGGAATGAATTCTCTGAAGCTGCCATAATTCCTTCAGCATAGTACTAATACGCAGTTGTATATCTGTAAAAGTCATTTTTATCTAAATCCATATTGTCTATTGTCCGTCACTTATTCTTCACCTAAATGTACTAAGTTGTGCTACAAGTCACAACTTTACATAAGGAAACTGAGAAGAGGAATAGCTTTTATTGTTGATCCTAAATCTTTCATGCTTTTGATACTCTGGGCRTTTTATAACTTTTTCTCACCCTGGCTGTCCAAGTGGCAGAGGTGCTGTGGAATCAAATTGCTGTTGAWAGGAGTGCATCCACACCATTCAGATGAGACTTTTCATCCTCCCTTCCTTAAGGCTGTTTTGCTGATGGCCTGCAAACAGTTGCATCAGTGCAGCTAAGGGTGCCCCACTGGAGTTCAAAAGTGGGAATGAACAACCGGTTCAGGAATTTCCGAGGCCACTGTAAAAAAATCTCAGACAAAAAAAAAAAAACAACCAGTGAAGGATATTGTCCTGCTTCTGGCCAGGACAGGGTTAATTTTTGTAGTAGCTGGAAGAGGGCATGGCCCAGASGTTATTCTATGCCATGTCACTGTCATTGCCCAGGGCAGGGGAAGAGGAGACTCCTGAGAGAAGGCATTCCTGGAGAGTCTTGGTGGGGACACTGAACTGGAAAGTGTCATTCCCAAACCACAACAGATGTGAAAACACTTTTTTTAAAGTATCTGAGATATGTGGTTTCTGCTGGCAGACATTTGACCAGAGTATATAAGGCACAAATAGGTAGTTCACATTATTTTTTTTCCTAGATAGGTCTAGTATCAGCTGGAGCAAAAATCCAGCTTAAAACCCCCTAATGATWTATTACTTGTGCAATAGGACTCCTATTTTTCAGCACATTTCTCCATGTGAATTAGCATTCTTGCTACTTACAGTCTTTGCCCATCAGCGAGAGTATTTTGATAATAAAGTGCTGAATAATCAAGTTTTGTTAAAAACCTAAAGCTAAACTTGCCATTAAAGATCACATAAGAAAAAGTAAAAATTACTCCTACAAGTATCTTGTAAACAACCAGGCTTCTGCTACGTAAAATGTCTCTTGAATTAGTAGAACTTTTTTTCTGTTAAATGTCATTATGACCCTTCCAAGTAAAATGAATTTTTATTTCTCATGCAAAGCACTAGGTGTTTTTAGTYTGGAAAGCATTTCTTTAAATCAAAGTCAAGTTTCCCAGTGTTACTACTTGATAACGGAAACACAGGAAACTTTTTTAGTTTGAAATGCCCTGTTACACTGGGATTCTAAATAGATAGTGCCTTAAAAATCCCACAAAATACAAGGAAACAGGTGGATCCTTAGCATGGTGTAGTGTGCTCCTTTCCCTACTCCTGAAACTTCAGGAAGGAAGCATATCTGAGAGTGTGCATGTGCATGGGCTGTGTTAATGTTGTAGCTCATCTGTGCCTTYCTGCTGGTTTCTGTCTGAATTTGGCTCAGCCAGGACTCCTCTTGCCAGTGTTGAGATTGAAGAGGTTCAAACTCTCCTCTGCTCCTTTGGCACTGTGCACACGTTGCCTCTCCTGTTTGTATGTGCATCCCTGGCACAAACATGTGACAGGCTCAGGAAATCTTTTTTTTTTGCCACTCACACTCCCATAACTCGTTCTCCAATGGTAATTCTTCTGAGGTTACATTTGCAAAATGTGAGGTGTGGGTACTGACCCCAAAAATACCTGAAATTCTGGTAAAAAAAAGAAAAAAAAAAMACCAAATCAGGAAAAAACCCAACCCATAAATCCATAGGGATACAGTTTGACTGCCCAGCTTGGACTCACTCATGCAAGACACATATCCCAGGGGAAGCAGAATGCCACCACTGTCATTAAAGCATTCTCCTGTGATGTTAGCCAGAGCCCTGCTGGGTTTCTTTTGGAAAATACTGCTATGGTCATTGGAAGGGGGCTGAAGGCGCAGTAATTATACTGCTGTCAAATTAGTTTGAAATGTTTTGACACAAATGCAAGTTGAATCTAAATGTCCATCTCCATCTCAGTGAATTACTGAGGGTTAAGCAGAAAGCTGTTAGTTTTGATGTTGGCCTGCTGACAACAGGGAATGGAATTCCTTTTGCCTTTCCATTTGCCATTGCTGTTAGTCCTTGACTGCAAGCAAACAGCACCSAAAAGGCAAATTAAGAGACATGTTTTGCATTTCTCCCACTGTGTTGAAAACTGCCATGGATATGAATGTATTTAATAATCATCCTGAGACAAGTTCCATCTCGTCATGGCTGTCCATGACATTAAGTATTCCATTCAGCGTGCTGCTGCCAGGAATTATATCCAGGATATTTGCAATGCTCTATCACCAATCCTGATTAGATTTTTTTTTTTGCACTGCTTGGATTCCTGTAAAAAGCCTGATGTTGGGAATGTGACATTATTCCTCCTAATTAAGGTATAATAATTGTATAGTGAGCATGTTCAGAAAGTGTCTTGTGAAGCTTCTTTAAACCTGTCTTTGAAATTTCAGATCTGAGGGGGGATTTTATCTGAGCCTTAGTAGCTTTTAACTGCCTTACATTTAAGGTACTCAGAAGTCTGGTGAGATTCTTTTCTTGTGRTGCCTCTGCTACTGGAGTTCTTTATTGATGTAAGCTTTAATTTTTCTAAAATTCAATTATAAATACAAAAAAGGTCGGTCTGACACAAACCCTTCAACTGATATATCTTTGCATAAAGAGAATTCCTTCCAGACAGGCATTACAAAAATGTGGTTAACTGTGGAACTTCCTACAGAGTTCGTTATTCACAAATTAATTTCTTGCCTKTGTTAGAATAAGAGGAAATACTTTTATTTTGTGTTCTGGTGCTTTTTGTATTGCTTGAGATTACCAAGTCTTCTTCCCCAAGTGGTATCTCTAGATTTTGTTTGGCATTTCTCCCACGTGTGTTGTTAATTACATATGCAACAAATCACTGATGAGATATTCCCTTTAAAATTGCACACACCTCTGGCCATCTATGGTCAGCACTGAATTAGCTGAACTGTGGTAAGATCCCTCCTCCATCATCCTGTTCCTATTGAAAGAAGTCAGAACAGCTTGTTTAAAATAGGCTGGAGGAGTCACAGTTGCTGTCTCCTGGGTCRTTAGAAACTAAAGAGAATAGAAAGAGGAAATAGGAAAGAGTTGTTTACCCWAAACAAGCAAAAATGATGGCACAAAAAGTAAATGCCTGATCTGATCACAAAAAACTGTTTGCTGAAAATCTGTTAAGGGATTTCTAACAGACTGATTGTGAGAGTCTGCATCTGTCTTCAAATAGAAGCCATGAAGGCAGAACATGTGCTGTTTGAGCTGAACAACACGATGTGAATACTCATGAAGGCTGGGATTGAATTTAGTTACTTGGGATTTCAAAGTGAATCCTAGAATCCTTTCRTATTCTTTTAAGTGTCCAAACTGCTTTACAATACCAAAGCTACAGTTAAAAATATGCATGTTGGGAAGAATAGGAGGTGAGAATAAAAAAAATTAATAAAAGGAAATCACAATCAAAGGAGCACTGATGGGTCAGGAATTTTCTGCTACAATTCCTCATTTCTCAGWGGCCTTGTCCACTCATTATATAGGTTATCTTTTTCTGAAATGAAACTTTTTGTCTAGTGATCCCTGTTAACACAGTGGAGCTTGCTTCCTCCTGTCTGCAGTGTGAGTTAGCTCTTGATTCTTATAACTACAGGGCAGTAATTTTCTTCCCCCACTTCAGGCAAGTGTAAGCTCATGTTGTCAACTCTGTAATGCACAAATTTGCAGCTTCTAAAGGATGGAGTGGCTGAAATCATGGATGTTAATTCATGTACCTGTACTGAGTATCATATCCATCACCAGTGCCCTTTACTTTATTTCATGCTTTAGCAAGCCAGGTTAACAAGGATAAATCTAAACRAGAGATTCAAAGACCTCACTCAGCAAACAGGATCCTAGTTTCTCTTGGGTAATGTTCATCCTTGTATTGTTTCCTTGTCTCTGCAGCTTCCTATTGTTGAAAAAATAAGGATCATTGCTCAGAAGGTGTATGGAGCTCAGGATGTGGAGCTGTCTCCCGCTGCGCAGTCACAAGTCGATCGTTACACCCGGCAGGTAAGAACTCCAGGGAATTTCGCAGGCAGGTACCTGCTGGATGTGAGTCTTGAGAAACCTCAGGGTGTGAAATGTTCCCACACTGGAGTGTTAAGTCAAGCTTTGCTGAAAGGCATGAGCTCACCTGTGGTGTGAAGGTCAGTATGGATTGGTTTATATTCGATAGAACGGAATGGTTTTAACCTTGAAAGCAATCTCCTGTGAGATGTGACTGKCATTCAGAATACTTCTGAGACTGCCCATGAAACTGCATTTTCTATGCAGTGTGATCATTTTGTGTTAGTCTCTCAAAAAGGACAGCTGCATATCTGCAAAAGTTGTGGGTAGCAAATGCAACCGATTTTAGCATAGGAGTGTTCACTTGTACCTGCAAAAAAGAGTTTGCAAACACAGAAAGACCTGTACACAGCTATGCACATYAATAACAAGGCCCCAATGCTAGTAAAATCTTTCTGTTCCTATTATTTTCAAGGAGTTATGAATACTAGAACATGAAATAGATCACCTATCCTAAAGCATGTGGGAGCTTGTTACAGTTTGAAAAGTTTTGTTACCGTRTGGAGAGGTGAATGTTTTTTTGATAGTAGAATGTCTTCTGGACATAAACATGGCTGGAGCCTTTCTGGCAAAAGGTAGAAATTATGGACAAKATGTCAAGGAAAAATTCCTGAGTAAACTTCAGCAGCTTGGTCAGACAGGCAGAAGAGTAGCCATCTTCCCTATAATGCAAACTTCCTGAAAATTAGTTTGATTTTTTTAAATGGAAAAGAAGATTACTYCATGTACTTGAGGCAAAATAATCCATATCTTCATTTTTTCCTGCTATGTTTCTCTAATCCATTTTTTTGTCTTAACAATAGTAGTATTAGGAAATATTTTCGCAGTGTCACTAAGGGGTTGTCAGCACCGGGCTGCAGGGACAATTCCCTGAAGTGCCACTTCTCCTGAGCCTTGTAAACTGGCTCTGTTTGTCAAGGAATTGAACAGAAGAGTGGAAGGTGCCTGATTCAAGATTAATCAATAACCTGGAGACAAATAATGTCGGGGGGAGCTGCTGAGGCACTTTCCCTGATTCCCTCCAACATTTTCAGTAACTAGTGCACTGTCRTTAGTGAAGTGGGTGCCATCACCTCTTTCAGTTTTTGTCTTGTTTAAAAATAAAGGAAAGCATCATGAGCCTGTGTTTACCTCCAAGAGGACATTAATACCCTTAGAAATTTTCGGTCTCTGAATCCTGGTCTCAAGTTGGTGTTTAATGGGGTTATTAGAGCCMAGAGGGAACTGCTGCAGTGCTGTTTTGTTAAGCTGATGCAGGTTTTATGTTCGATAAGGTACCTGTTGTGGACCTTTTCTGAAAACAAAGCACTTTAGCTGTTGCATAGGCAGCTTTTGCGCCTCACTCTAGGCTGAGAACCCACTCTAGAAGCTGGGTATCACTACAGCCAAGTTTCTGGAGGTAGGGGTCGGAGCTGAGAGAGAATAACACATATAATACTACATTTGGTCCACTTCTGAAATACTACCTATTATAAAACTGAGGTTAACTCTKGCTTTATGGACTTTAGGGTTTCTAGAAGTTATTGGTAACAAAACAAAAACATTAATGTGTCTTTACTGCAACTTTAAAAGCATTTTTCTTTTCTTTCCCTTGTTTTGTTAGGGATTTGGAAATCTTCCCATTTGTATGGCAAAAACTCATCTATCCCTCTCCCATCAGCCTGAGAGGAAGGGTGTTCCCACTGGTTTCATTTTGCCAATTAGCGATGTGCGAGCCAGCATTGGAGCTGGATTCATCTACCCTCTGGTAGGAACGGTGAGTGCAAAGCATTCAACTCTATAACTCCCCTTTGACCCAGCCTGACAGGGAAGTGCATTTCCTGTTTGCCTCTAAAAATAATGTGTAGAACCACGTGAGTTCTTGTTTTTGTATAATAATCTTAYCCTAAACCTTTCTACAGCTCTGTGTTGATAGGAGAAGATAATCAAGAAAGTGCAATGTCGTGTAAGAGCTTTGACTGTCAGGTCTGAGAGAACGGCTGTTGTTTCTGTTGCTGGTTTTTTTTTGTTAGTTTAGGGCATTTAGGCACCCTAATGCTGCAAAAAAATTAATGTACTTGTCCGTTGTCTATTCTTATTCAAATTGCAGCCCGTAAATAACTGGTTAGATATTTGTATTCTAAATGTTAAATCTTCCATCCATCATTACAGAYCATTTTAATGTATTTAGATGAAAAGAATTGTGTTGGGGAGTAGAGGGCTTAAAAAAATTTCTCTTCAGCTGATGAGCCTGATCCGTTCCGCGCCTTTGTGAACATCACTTACGGTCCTGTGAAACTAAGTTATGGTGGGAAGGGGTAGACTTGTAACTGCTGACATAACAGCACATTCCTTCTCCTTTTTTAGATATTTAAACAATGAGGTGCTAAAAAGAGGCAATTGTCATCCTTTCTTCCTTGTCCTTACAAGTACTGACTCAGACTAGGAAGATCCTGATATTTTCCTCCCTACCGGGCCTTATCCAAATAGCTGAGAAATTAGTTGGCTTGAAATAGCTGAGGAGTGAGTTGGCTCCTGCCTTTTGCCAACCAMGCACACCTTCATCCCAACAACACAGAACATCATCTGACATCTCCTAGCTAGAATTATTACTTACGTGGAGCTGATTCATGGGATGGTGCTACAGAAGGGATGCAAAAGCCATTGCATTTCCGGAAAGAGTACTCTCCCAATGTTATCTCATCTTCCCAGAGCATGGCCTGATTTCCTTGGGTAGCAGTACACTTAGGAAAGGTTGAAAGTTTCTAATCTATTGTTTTGAATTCCCTCTGAAACAATCAAGTGTTTGAAATGAGGAAGGAAGTACTTTCTGACCAGGAGGGTTCCTGGAGTTCAGGAAACTGTGTCACTTTAAGTCACTGGACTCGGGGATATGTTTTCCTCTGCATGACCACATTATGCACATCCACCAGGAACAGGAGCAGCTGTGTATTTAAATTGTGTAAGACCAAATTCCAATTACTGGTGGCAGGATAAAATTTGTCAGAACTTCTAGTATCTCCTTCATGGCCTGGATTCAAGTTTGCGCTGTAAGTTGTGTGTCATGAAGTTATGAGAAGGAGTGCWTGTGAGTAATGGGCAGCAACTAATTCAAATCCATGAGGGAGCTGTTCTRTTGGATGTCAGAATGAAATATTCTTGGGTTGAGCTTTCTGAATGAGTCACACCCTGTATGCTTTGCTACAAACTAGCTGCAGCTCGGTGTCATAAATCCATAGAAACTGTCCATAAGAGCAATATAAACCAAACAAGTTCAAGGATTACCACTCATTTTCTGTTTCCACTTAGAACCAAAAAATGCAGTTCTTATGAAGGACATTTTATATATGGGATTTCTTATTGGAGGGAGAGTAAAAAACACATCTAAGTTAGCTGGCCTGACTTTGGTGAGAGGTAGTATTAGCCATGGAACTTCTCCCATATCCTGAGCTGGGCAGGCAGTATTCTGTGTTATGCATTTCAAGAAAGTTTGTAGGGCGAGGTACTGTATAAACACAGGATCCCCAAGAGGTGAAAATGTAAATACATGGACATCGATCATTGGTTGTTTGGAAAATATTGCTAATGCTCAGGAATGCAATCCTCAGGAATGTGGGACAGAACACTTCTTGGAACCATCACAATTGCTACAAATCAGAATGAATGAATGAATATGAGTGTGTTCCTAACATCGTTACCAYACAATTCTTTGTTTGGAATTAAATTTATAGCAAGAGGTCCAACYTGCTGCCTTTCAGAGTTGAGAGTTGTGTTCATCATGAAAAAAACTCTCATACTATAATGGTACCACTACTTATGAGATCACTTTTCCCATTTGCCACCTTCACAATTTTTATGTGCGTTGTTGTCAGCAACTAAGTCTTGGGGTTAGTGTTACTTTTTAAGCTGTGCAAGAGGGAATAATTTTGATGTCTGATTTCAGAACTGAAAGCCTTCCTTTGGCRGTTCTCATACTAATAGAGCTATTTGAAAATTTCTGCAAGGACAAAGCTAGTATAGAAGGGCATGTCCTGAAGGCTTCAAGTGGCTGGAAATCAAGGCTATGAGTAGAGGGATTACAGAAGTCCCGGTGGCAGCATATGGTAAACAGTGGATTAGATTTCTTTATATAGGAAAAATAGAAAGAGCAGCATATATATTTTTTTCCTTTCATTGCTTGCTGGCTAATTGCATTAATACCTAAGCTGCTCAGAACCTTCTTACAGCTAAGGCCTTTTCTGCTGGTAGGAAAAAAAAATGCTATTTTTCATTAAAGTTATAGTGATAATTCTGATGCTAATTAAATGTCARACTCCATTCTCAAAGCCTATTYTTTRCAGACTAACTTCTCATATTCTAACSTGTCAGAATTTATCAGTAAAGCAGGTTGTTAGAGTTCTGCTCCAATGTAATTGGGAAGAGCATTACAAATGAGAAAAATAAGTACTGCTGAGAGATAATAAACTATCTGCAATAACTAGCATTTGTAGTTTAGCCTTGTCACTAACACATGCAGAGTAATGAGATTTGTATTTGTCCCAGCACTGATATGCAGTGATTTTATTTTTTTTAACTAAATATTTAGTGTGTTGTCTTCATGTTCTCTAAGCMATATTTAATTTGTGTTATGGTTGGCTCCAGTTCCCATGCAGCATGGAAGTCTTTCCAGGAAAAATGAGCTGAGCCTTATCAGAGGAAATCAGCAGTGAAACAAGAGGTGCATTTAATTAACACTGGCACAGCTTTTATCCAAGTTCTCTGAGACCATGACCCAGAGGGCTACATCACTCTCACAGGTGGACTGTTGACATCATTGCTTGGCTTAACAGAGTGATGGCAGGAAAGCTGCTGGTGTATATGTAGGAAACCAGTGAGGTCATTCACTAGCAATGCTTGGGTGGGGAGTTATTAGATTTTTTTGTAGTATGTGTGTTTCTCTCCACACCCACCCAAAAAGCCACAGCAGTTTGGTGCTTTCTCACAGTCAGCCACACTTCCATTGTTCTCTTYTGTGTGAGCTGCAAGAATGCAGGAAGGTCAGAGAAGTAAAACCTGTTGTCTTTTGCTTTTGTAAAGTGATCACTGGTACAGAATATAAATCTGTGTTTGAGTCACAGTGAGATTTTTAAGTATGTACTACTCTTCTGCCACGCACTTTCATTTTAATGAGTTAAAATCACAGGCAAGTCACTTCAAAAATATGTGGAGCCTTTGGAGTCATGCCAGCTTCCCAATTCTCACAATGAACTGACATCCTTCAGATATCAACATATCTGAAGAAAGGTCAGCCTATTACAGAAATACTTTTCTCCTCATAGAGAAAGAAGTTCAAGTCTGGAAGAAGTGYTGAAACTATGTCCTCTGGGAAGGARCTCATGGGGGACCCAGTGTAGTTTGAAATCAGAGTTTGGGAGCAGAAAGCTCTAGTTCACTTGTGGGTGAGAGCCAGGACTGTCCTGCCAAAATATTACCTGGATATTGTAAGAGGGAAAAGACCTTGAAAGTAAATATTTTTATGAATACTTTCAGAAGGAAGATTCCCTGTTGAATAAATTTCTTCTTTCTTAGTGGTTGAGAGCTTAACAAGTTTTGAGAGTGTCCATTAAACATAAACTGGAGTCCAGGCCACCTGAAGTGAAACTGCAATTTTTCAATGGTGCATGATGCCCAGTTTGTCTCCAAACTGTCATTTTGTCACTTCTCTGAGGTGCTTTAATGAGATAGATCAATAATAATTGTTGGATTGCTCAACTCATCCTGATAATCTGCCTAACACAGGGTAATGTTTCAAAAACATAAATGATGGTGAGGTTTATATTTGCTTTGTAAAGCATTTAGCTTACAGTTCAATTTTATATTGTTTACAAAGAAGCTACGCTCTGCTAGGTATTCTGACCTCTCTTGGTCAAAAAAATGTCCCTGGTGATGTGGCATTTATCACCTGCCTTTGCGGTTGTATAGTTGCCATGTTGTAGCCTTGGTGTTCACAGACTCTTCAGGCTGACATTAAAGCCACACGGGTTAAAGATATTTGTAGGTGTTCCAAGAGCATTAGTTAAAACAATTAGATTGTTTTAACTAAGATCTGGGCAGGAAGAAGTCATGTGAGTAATGGATGTAGTTACAGGGGAGCAGAACATACCTTGCTGATGACTAAGGATTTTTTTTTTAATTGAAGAGAAAAAGAGTAGAGTTTAGCTGGCTTGAAAATACTATTATMATTTCTGTAGCTTTTCAAAGTGCATGGAAAAGAATGTATTTAAATGATAGAAATTTCCCTGTAGTCTGTGCATTTATTGTTTTAAACTGATGTGGATAAGCCAGTGTTTGTGGGAAATRCAGAGTAAATACACTTTGCTCTGGATCACTGTACCTCCGTGATGGCATGTGACACAGGCATGTGGTAAAATACTCACTTAAAACCTGAAGCAACACCCAAAAAACCACACAAACCAGCCTCTCTTGCTCCTCTGGCATTTAGAAATGTCTTGACAGATTAAGGAGGCAAGGCAGTTAGATTCTGTATAGTTCGTGCTGTCTCCTGTGACTGCTGTTTGCTAGTAAGCGTTATTTAACCTACATCATAATAATGTACCACATATTACCTCTTTGAAATGAAGACCATGTCCCATTGCTGGCCAGATTAAATTTGTATCTTTTTACTGCTTTATTCCACCTAATCTTACATTCCTTGAGGGCCAGCACTTGTAGTTAGAGAAATGCATGTATGGTTTTGCTTTGTTTTCTTCTGAGAAGGWAAAATAAGTTTTGTAGGTG